AAATACCGCCGTGGGAGTGCGAAAACGCACATGCTAGATGGACAAGCATGGGTTTAACATTGTTGGTGGTTAGACTGGAGACAGGATAGGAGACATTTTTTGAGGTGAAATATATAAGAACTGTTCCCCACACGTTGAATTATTAGATGACTGGAGAACCCCTTGCCCTTCTTTCTTTCCAGGATAGTCAGCATTTGACAGGGCAATGTTTAAATAGCAAAACCGATTAAACTGTAACGCCCTTTTACGAACAGAACAATGCAATATAAAATTCTGCAGTTGTACTAGTGTAATATACTCCATCCTGCTGGGCCCCAGTCAGGAGCAAAACTATAGTTCAAATTAGGTTTTGCCCTTCACCGACGTTTAAACCAGTGTGTTACCTCCCGAGTGAAAGTTGGAAAAAAATCACTCGGGTGGGACTCGAACCCACGACCTCCTGCTTTCTAATGCAGATGTCTTACCGCTCGACTCCCGAGATAACGGGATCGGTTGGCTGGTTCGAATCTGATGTACATAGCAGCGGTTACCGTATAAACTATATAAGATGGAATTTTTGAGTCGGGGTGATATGAATCAAAACTAAAGTTGTTTCCTGCTTTACGATTCAATAAGTTTGCTGGTCAATTGTTAACTGGTGGCTGTTTTCACTACCGTTGCTCAACTCGTGGCAAGCGATGTTTAGAACGCGCAAAATTCATCCCGATCTGTACATGCAGGTAGGTTAAGTGGGTGAAAGATATAATCGATATAATGAACACTGTCTTGATCGAATTACGTCTTTATGGATTAGGGAAACAACGCTATCTGATCGGAAGGGTGTAAATATACAATGCATATAGGATGCAGTCAGTCCCATAATACAAATGTACGTGCACATACTGTGCACACCGAGTGAGCCGACGCTGAAAGTTTGTATTTTCTACGACCACCGCACACAGATATAAATAGATGGTTCTGGCGGTAATGTGGAAGAATATTGTGAAATTGGTATTGCACCTGGATAACACGATATAACAAGGCCAATTTTGGTGCAGAAGCACGGAGTTATTTATTTGCTCATTGATCGGTGCGATCATCGAGGGTCGATCGACCACCGGTCTCCGTATAGAACGCACAGATTCGTTAGCTCTCTGATCTATTATTTACACAATTCCTCCATGGTTGACACAATCATCGGACTATACGCAAGTACGCGGTTCACCGGTGAGTGTTTGTTTACTACAATCAGACCTACATCAGTTAATTTTTTCAAACTTTTTTAAAATTCGACCATAACATGTCCGTGTTGATTGCACAATGAACTACCGAGATAAGTCATTCGCAACAAATCTTAAGGGTTGCTCCATTCTAGACGATGTTTGCCGATAAGATTTTACTAAAAGATAAATTCTTCAAATAGACAATCATAATTGTTTCATACATTTCAATTTACGTAAAATTCATATTTATTATACGTATATTATTCAATACCAGAGTAATGGTACGTTCCTTTAATTATTTGCATTTGCGCAAGCCCCTCCCCCATCACACTCCCCCGTGCTGAATGGAAGATTCGTGTTGCTCATTGTATGCTAATGAGGGTCACGTGGGGGCATTTCCGGCTTAATGATTGGTCGAGAGCCCGTCAAAAATGGGCAGAATTACCTGGTTAGACGGGCTTCACAACTGGGGTTACGTATTGTGGATATACGTATTTCAAGCGTCGAATCTTCAGAGAAATGTCAACAAATAAAAAGACTGGCGCCGCATGAAATGTTCGAATCACGCATTTGACTGGAATCAGAACAAATTGCTCTTTACCCAAAAATTCCTTCTTATGGTATTTAAACAAACTATTTTTCGACATTTTTCCATTTACAATTGTTGGAGCCTAAATCAGCGCTTTCTCTCGAACGTCACCTTTAAGGCCCACACGGTAATAATGAGCATACTGATTGTGGCGTCATGAACCATTGCTTGTAACCAGGTAACGAAATGTGCCGCGTATTCTGGTTCACGCACAAAGTGTGAAGACATCACGAGAAGCAGCACCGAAACCAGAACAAAGACAGCTGAGATAGGCCTATATCAGCAAAACCGACGTGTTGAATTCAGTGCAGACGTAAGCACGCTGTTAGAAACGGTGATTTGAGTGATCACATTTCTTTAAATAAGCCGGGAAAACATATAGTAGTTTCCGATTTTCCTACCATCACAAAAGCCATCATGAATGGGTATTTAGGACGGTGTCACATGAAAATCCGACTCTTATAAAAATCGGACCCCTATTTCCCTATCATTTGTTGATCCCTCGCACGTGACAGGTCACTCTCCCGAAACGATCCTAAAAATAGCATAGTATCGTACTCACGCGTGCGCATTACTACCAATGAGTCCACATTTCATGGAGTCGGATATTCATGCTCAACGGTACCAATTATTTCAAATCCGAATATCCGTACTTTCTGAGGATAACGGATATTTTGTCTCAACTTTGAATAGTCGGATGCACTTAAAGGGAAAATGTAACATTTGCAAACATCAAAAAATAAAACTACCAAATCATTTTGAAATACCTTGCTGGATTGTTAGTGAATGACAGTTTAAAGCATCCTGTAAAATCATTGCACCTGGTATACTGTCATTTTCAAGAAAAGTGGTATTTTTGTATTTATTTCCAACGCTGATCGGCCGATCAGCGTTGGAAAAAAGTGGATTTTTTTTCAAATACTTGCCCCAATTGACCATCGCACTTGTTTGCAATCGATTACAAACCTATGCACGGGTAGGAGCCAGCTAGACTGGTTCCCTGACCTTACAATTCCCAAATGTATGTAAACTGCTCTGTTTCTTATTATATGGAGTCAGAGAACCAGACTACAGAAAAATGATTGTTTTTCTTGGTTTTTATAGCATTTTCGAACCCAAAACCTCAAAAAGTTAGTGTAACTATATTTGCTATATATTTCCAACCCCCCAATTCCATCCATTTCTGAAAATTACAGTAAAAGCAAATGAAGTATATTCCCTTTCATTGGTCTTAGACTGTTTCAATGCCGATTTATTGGTAGCGCTAATGAAATATATTTAGGGAGTCCCTCCAACCATCTATGTTATCAGAAGTGGACTTCACATTTCAAATCCGGATATCTGTACTTTCTAACAGCCAACAGGCTATTTCAATTAATTGTAAAGATAAATGGACGAGTCAGCTCTTTTCCGCTTCGCCCTCGACCATATAAAAACAACTTGCCGACATTTTGCCCAACGGCCTTGGTGACATTGTGCTTAATCACTATAACATTCGCCAAAGAATGTTTAAAATTAGAAACAACCCTCTTGAATATGATCACACTTTTAATGTTGATAATGATCGAGGGAAAAAAAGTTTTTTTGGAGTTAAAACAAAAAATGCATATAAAAAAAATATTGTGTTTTTCAAATGGAGGTCGGCAGTTCTTCGGGCGCTTTGTTCACTAAATCGAACAGCGAAATCGTTTTGTTCATCGTACCGAACCAGATCTCACGACAGAATAAAGTGCAAGTAATACTCTTTCTAAATCAATGGAGCAGACTAATGTGCGCTGTGAGTGAGGACTGGCCTGGGACCAGCTTACCTAGACTTGCGTGAGCTGGGAATATTGATTCACAAAACAATTTACGCTACGCTAAATATTTTGTCGCCTACGGAAACGGAAAACTGACCACCGGTTGCGCCAGATATGGCGCATATTATCACCTGCTCTCTGACGTTGTACGTAGCCTTCCAAGGGTAGTACATTTATTGTTAGCATTGACACAACCAGAAAATGCCCATTTCCTTCGCCAACGCGGTAATAACGACTGACTGTACATCGATCGACGTTAGAAATAGTCAAAGTCAGTCTACTTGCTTGCAAGGATACGTTAAAGGTAAACATCGGGCTAGATTAAAACAACAAAATCAAGTTTTACATTGTTTACTCACGTTATTATATACCTAAACTTCTTGGTCACTGGAAAACCATAAAAATGCCCACATACCTTTCAGTTAGGTAGGGAATCTTGAGCCAGATGTCAACAAAAGACTGGCGACGCATGAAATGTTCAATTCACTATAAATTTTCACAATGAGAAATCAGGTTCCACACTTTTATAAAATTGGTTATTACCTTCGGCGACATATTTGACTGAAATAAAGGCAAGTGCTCCATCAGCTCGATTTTCGAGAACCAATTGCTATTTACCCCGAAATTCCTTCTTATGGTAATTAGACAAAGGTATGTTGATGTGGACGTTCGTTTCTACTTTTTCTACGATATTTTTTCCCATTACATTTTTGGAGCCTGCAGAAGCGCTTTTTCCCGAACGTACGTAACACCTTTAAGGCCAATACGATAATGAGCATGATGTGGTTGTGGCGTTCAGTACCGTTCCTTGTAGTCTGGGCCCAATTTCTTGGCTCTGCTAACCACAGAATTCAGCGCTTAGGCCAAAAAAAAAAAAAAATAAGTCGGTCTCCGGTCAGCGCGCGCGTCGATTTTAAGCATGCGCGTCGATCTTTTTTTTTTCCAAAATGTTCCGCGGTAGCTCCAACAGCGCCCTCTATTGCCGCACCTCCTCAATTTTTTTTACCAAAGAGCACCAAGGAATGGGAAACTGCACCAAGGCAAATGATCGAAAGCGCCAAGGCAAATTATGGGGCCACCAATGTACATGAGGACACCAAAAAAACAAAATAGTACCCACCTTGTCTGTACAATCCAAGCTGAAGAAAAAAAAAGAAAGAAGGAAAAAAAAAAAAAAGCCGCGTGGCCGCGTCAATTCCGGAACTTTGGTCTGACCAGAGACCGAATATTTTTTTTTTGGCCTTACCATTAATGTTTTGTTACCCGCGCTAGCAGAAAAAAAAAAGATCCGTGCTAACACGTCAGCACAGAATCCTTAGTTACGGGATATACGCATATGCGCAGAAGCCAACATTTCTCGCTAACGCGTGAAATACGCAGCTGAGATCAGCCAAACCGATGTGTGGAATTCAATGCAGACGCAAGCACGCTAGAAGCGAGACAACGCACGAGTCTGGTGACATTGGAGACACGAGAGATGAGATAAATAACACTAGTGGCTGAACTACAGGGCCTGTATTTGACATCGCAGTAACACTGGATTTCGCCTCAAACGAATTTCTCTGTCCAACATTAACTAAAAATTAAATCGTGTGTGACCACAAAGCAGATATGTGTGGTGCTAGAGTTATCCCAGTTTTAGGCGTCAGTTTCGCATTTGTTGTGATGATTTGTTTGGATTTCTGCACCCTACCTTCGGCTGTCGAAGAATGCCCGCCGTTGTGGATTCCTTGGGGCTCATCTTGCTACCGTCTCACCGGCCAGGGGGCGAGCTGGGACGAAGGCCAGGCTTGTTGCCGTGACATGGGTGCGGTGATGGCCGCTCCTTTTACAGACGAGGAGAATGCATTCATGGCAACCACAACAAAGAACGCAGGACTAGATTGGTTATGGGTTGGTTGCAAATTCATCGATAGAGCATGGAGGTGCGAGGGCCAGGAAGTCGGTCAGGCGTACTCAAACTGGCGTCCCGGAGAACCGGGCAACAAGGATGGTGGTTCCATGCCTTACACTGATTATTGCGCTTATGTTATTCCAACAAGCCTAGACTGGAATGACTCCCCCTGCACAGAACGACCCAAAGCTATGTGTGTCCTGCGATCACCAGCACACATTCGGCACCAGGGCTTCTCTCGAGGCAACGCTCAGCAGCAGCAACTCAACTGGTGCCTCGTCGATCATGTCATCAGAGAATTCGTCACCAAGAGCGCCTCAAGATGCGCCTCTGCCTGCCTGAAGGAACCGGGATGTCGCTCCTTCAACATCAAGGGCACCAAACAAGAACAGAAACTGTGTCAGCTCAATGATGCAGTTCGCGCCGATAGTCTAGAGAAGTTTCAAGAGGTCAGCACTCAATGCGTTTACTACTCTGCCTAAAAATGTAACATTACCACTAAAACTCTTTAAATCACCTTTCGAGCTAGAAATTATAATATAGTCATTGCATGTCAAAACTAGAGTTGTTCAGTTACATACATTAAGTGCTTTCTACGGAGTTCATGTATTATTCGTGTTTTCTGATGTGTTGATTTGGATTATTTGGAACATTGAGGTAGCCTTTATGTGTTTACCTTCAGTTATCTTGCCTCATCTGTTCAGCCTGTTACTCTTGTCTTTGTTCCTTATACGACCCGTTTACTTACTTTGAAATCTAACATGATGCGGCCCGATTGACACCATGTTAGCATGTCGATTTAAATAAAATATTTGTAGATGTCCAAACGTTCGACCTCGAAAATAATCAACAATCAAACCCAAAGATACATTCCCTTCCTTTCAATCAGCCCCCTCCTTTCTTAAAACTTAAACCATTGCGTTGAGTCGAGATGAAAATGCAAGCATTCCTCGTAGCATGATTGTTGATTTTAAGGGACGTACTTGGGGATCTTATACAATCGTGCTACGAAGTATAATACTGACGAAATAAAAAACCATGGGTTATTAGTTGTTCAAGTTTACTCAAGTTGAAAAAAACAATCGGAATTGTTTTATTGCCTCTTGAAAAAGAGCATTTGCATTCCGGTGCGTTTCTGTGAGTCATGTCTGTTTCGTATATCACAAACTGTTGACGTGAAACATGAATTGGTGAGAATGAGTTGTTTTGAACCAGAGAAGTAATTAGAAGTACATGACGAGTTTGTATTGGAAGAATATGATAGCGAAAACGTCATAGATAATGCTCCGATGATATCTCTGCCTGTAGACATTTGCACTTACCTCCTTATACGCAGTATACAAGTCTCCAAAGTTTCGGATATGAATTGATATCATCCTGTCAATCAGCACAAAATGCAACACTGGGAATTGGAATACTTGCCACCGGAATCTGATGTGACATGGAACGCACAAAAAGGTAAAATCTATTTTTTTGTCATTAAAACGGAATTGGGTCTGAATTGAGAATTTTATTTTTACCAAAACCGATAAGCCAAGAATAACTGAACTCAAGGTTTTCCATTTTCAGTATTGAAGTAAATAGCCTAAATATCGCGTAACGAGAAAAAAAAATGCCAAAAAGGAAAACTTCATACTGGAAAATGTCTGAAAGAATTATGTCCATATTAGGATGTTTAAAAAAAATCTGACCCATAATTGTAATATTTTCGTGTTTAATGATGTACTTGATAGTGTTTTGCAAAGTGAAGATCGGTAGTTCAAAATCCAAAATTATTTTTGCAAACAGATTCGTGGAAAGGAATCCACCTTTTCTAACAATAGTGCGACGTCATAGCACTGGCTGAAGTTGCATTACTTTTGGGCAAAGGTGCTAATGCAAGTCTAATTCACAAGTGACAGTCAGTCAGCCAGTCAATCAATCAGGCGCAAAGAGGACTATATGGACCAACAAATAATCGTGGATATAGACTAAAGTATACAACAGTGAAATGAGTCTGTATAAGCGGATTGTCATTCAGTTGACCTCCATTTAGGCCTATAAGCCAGCTTGGTCGTGTCGTGAATAGTTATTGCCTAATTCACATTTTATTGACAAAATTCGGATTCAAATTTGGCTATTTTGTATAGACAACATTTTAAGTAATGGCGAATTGTCATGTAAGCCTACGTCTCATAAACGTAACTTTATACACAGAAATGCATAATTTTGAACAAGTTAACTACCAAAACGTAGTGTGTGGGAACAAATTGCTCAAAAGGTAATCTTTAGATTGGGCATTGTTTCTTGCGTGCCACACCCTCGTCACAAATGGAGGTTTGGAATCAATATTTAAAAACTCTCAAAAAGACAATGGAAATATAGATGTGATGGAAATTATTTCAGTGCAGCAAGATTTTTGTTAACAAAAAAAACCGCCACGGTGTTGATAAAATAAAACCGCCACATAAAGGATGACTTTATTGGTATAAGGTTTTAGTACAAATAACCAGTAAAAAAAATCCTACGTTCTGTCTTATAATATCGTCTTACGATATTGCAAACCTCAGTTTACCGTCGAAGCCTTTTCTTTGGTCTCTATATATCTGTTGGCCACATGGCAGATTATTACTCATCCTTAAAAACAAAATGGGTTACTTCTATCGCAGACAATCAGTAACTGAAATTGGCATCATGCTTAATAAGGGCCTGATTGCTAATAACTGCACAGGTGTGAACAGAAATACTTAAGAAGTGCGATAATGCAGCCTAGCAACGAAGTCCGTCATTTCCCCTCTTCGCGGGTGCGCGATATATACAACTGGTAGTCTTTTAACAAGACTGATCAATAGTATAGTCTGGGGGCCAAGACTAGATTTTGATCATTCCAACTCGCGCAGACAATCGACGAGTACAGCCAAGAGGTATCGGTGGTAAAGGACGCTATATTACGAAGCTGAACTTGCTACAGAAATAAACGCAAAGACCGCCAGTCTGCGCGTTGAACAATGATTCGGAAAAGTATGGGCAAAAACCAACTGCGTTCCCAGGGTGTCGAGCAGTACGCTCCCACCACTACCTGCATGCATAGGAAGAGTCTGGTGCCTACCTGTGCTCTACACCCGCGTTTGTTTTGGTTTGTTGTGTCTGGGTAGAAGAACATAATCAATTCGTGGCGGCTTGAGTTACCGCAAAACAAGATTTTTTTTAAAGTTAACATGTTACAATCTTATCCATCAAATATGCAGTATCACGTTTCATTATGAGCAAATTGGAAAAGAAAACATTATTTGTGAGAATGTGTGGACTCAATAATTACAATGAACGTGAAAACACGTAATACACGTTGGAAATAACACTACAACAAATCCATTCCCTACTAACCTGTACACTACAAAAATCCATTCCCTACTAATTGCGCTATTGAATCAGGATACAGGAAGCAAGTTCCTATCATAGGGCTTACTATTGGAAACGAGGTTGAAAATAAAGTAAACCCTGGGGGCGAGGTTGGGGCAAAACCATTGATCTCCATATACACATATGTGTATATGGAGATCAATGGACAAAACGTTTGTTGACGGGGCGCTTAACCGCGCAACGCACGTTCAATGCCTTCACGCACTTAGTACAGTACATATATTTTGTGGGTTAAAAAAGATGGTATTACTCAAAATCTGCATGGAAACGGTTGGTACGGTGTAGTTTTTTTAAGCTACCTAAATCATACTTAGAACACAAGGGATTTTTGTTTTACAATCGAAAAATGAATTCATATAATTTCTGCCAAAAAGGAAAACTCCACACTGAAAAATGTGTGAGAAAATGTTGTGCATATTGGATTGTTTTAAAAATAAATAACCCATAATCATAATATTTCGGCGGTTAAATATGTACATGTAGTTGATAGTTTAAAGTGTATTTTGCTAAGTGCTGATTGGTAATCCCCACTTATTTTTGCAAAACAGATTTGTAGAGATAAATCCACCTAGTTGCACTAGTTTTGGGCAAAAGTGACACTGTGGAAGTCTAATTCAACAGTCAGTGAATCAGTCAATCAATCAATCAGGCGCAAAGAGGACTATAGCTGAAGGGACCAACAGAAAAATCGTGGATAAAGACTAAAGTAGAAAACAGGGACATGTATCTTATTAGCAGATTGCCATTCAGGTGACCTCCCTGTAGGCCTATAAGCCAGTTTGGTGGTGTTATGACCACTTATTGCCTTATTCAAATTTCAGTGACAAAGTTCCAATTCAAATTTCGTTAATTTTATTTCATTTTTTTCCGTTAATTAAAAATTGTAATGTAAGCCTAAGTCCCACAGTTAATCACCAAAAATTAATGTGTGGGAAAATTGCTCAAAAAGTAGTCTTTAAATATGGGCTTTGTATTTTTGTATGCCGCAGCCTCGCCCAATATAGGGGGGGGGGGGGTCAATATTTGAAAACCTCAAAAAGATAATTGAAAGAACAAAACAGTGAATAGATTCAGAAGGGCAAGATTTCAGTTTAAAAAACGACAGCTTGAAGGTCTTACTTAAAAACAACCGCCACATCAATGATGACTTTTTTGGCATTTATTTAAAAGTTTTATTTTAAATAAACAGAAAAAAAACAGATGTTCTGTATTAAAATATCGTCTGATGATATTGCAAACCTCAGTTTACCGTCGAAGCCTTTGGTCTCCAGATTCGGTGGACTCGTGGCAGATTATTACCGGTCCCATCCTTGAAAAAAATATATGGGTTACTTCTATTGCAGACGATCAATAACTGAAATAGGCATATTGCTTAATAAGGGCCTGATTGCCAATAACTGCACCAGTGTGAACAAAGATACTTAAGAAGTGTGGTAATGCAGCCTAGCAACGAAGTCCGTCAATTCCCTTTTTTGCGAATGCGCGATATAAACAACTGGTAGTCTTCTTACAAGACTGATCAATACTATAGTCTGGGGCCAAGACTGGACTTGGATCATTCCCCTAACGCGCGCAGACCATTGGTCTGGCTCCCAGACCAAATATTCTGACTATTTCTGATGAATCTTAGGTCAGGTAGCCGCTAGTATCTATACAAAATATATATATACGGCACGTGACTAAAACGTGACTAATTCTTCAAATTAACACGGAAGCTACAACAGCGCCCTTTATTGCCGCGCCTCCTCAAAATGTTTGTACCAAGGAGCACCAAGGAATGGGGAAATTGCACCAAGGCAAATGATAAAGGGCACCAAGGCAAATTACGGAGGACACCAATGTATAATGAGGACACACAAATGCAAAATAGTACCCACCTTGTCTGCACAGTACAAGCTTGGAAAAAAAAAAACACCCCCCCCCAAAAAAAAAAAAAAAAAAAAAAACGCGTCGCCGCATCGATTCCGGAACTTCGGTCTGACCAGAGACGGACTATTTTTTTTTTTTTGCCTTATGAAGCAGGTAATGTTTTTGACTTTTATCTGAACATTATAAAGCTACACGTGATAAAAAGCGAATTCGGAAACGAAGCCGAGATTTGAAAAAGAGCCGTCAATGTAGTCATGTTTATTTTTAGTCGCCGAGCTGAGGCTGCCTGACCTACAATTAAGACGTAAGTGCATAATTTTGAACAAGTTAACAACCAATAATTAATATTTGGGAAAACATTGCTCCAAAATGGGGGGGGGGGGATCAATATTTGAAACCCTCAAAAAGACAATGGAAAGAACAAAACAATGAATAGATGTGATGGAAATTATTTCAGTATGGCAAGATTTTAGTAAAAAAAAAAGAGGTGATTGGTTACTTTTTTGGTTATAAATTTTGACTAAGCAGCATTTTTGTAGATCTTCTGTCTTAAAATATCGTCTTATGTTTAATAATGCTAACCTCAGTTTACCGTGAAAGCCTTTGGTCTCTATAGATTTGTTGGCCTCATGGCAGATTATTACTTATCCTTGAAAAAAATGGGTTACTTCTATTACAGACAATCAGTAACTGAAATGGGCATCATGCTTATCGGCCTGATTGCTAATGACTGCACCGGTGCGAACAAAGATACTTAAGAAGTGTGGTAACGCAGCCTAGCAACGAAGTGACGCC